CGTTCTACGCCTCGCGCACAAGTCGTCTGGGGTGAACGATGACTGGGTCTTCGAGGTCATCAGGCATCTACGCGAGGAAGAATCCCCAGCATTGCTGAACGTCGCATGGATCCTGCAGGGCACACTTCACATGGGCGTCGGTTCCGGCGCGGGCGCGGCGGGCGCTGTCAGATGGGCGCTGCGCGTCATTCCGTCTCTGCGTTACAAGTCGGCCTTCAACTTGGATCAGTTTTTGCAGGAGTTTCGTCCAGCCGGACCTGCGGTCCCCCATCTCGATTCAGCGAGCTTTGCCGACTATCTGTTCTGCCTCAACTCGCTTTTTGGTCGTATGAACAGTCAAGATATGAGCTTGATAGACAAGAGGTGAGCATGACTTTCTCGCGACGACGCTCGCAGGCTAAACACCTGGCAGCCCAATCAAAGATCTTCTCATGTGCCAACTCTGTCGGACCCTTTCAACGAGACTGATTGGCGGGAAACTCGAGATGTCAATGTTGACCCGTATCCTTGAGACCACTGCCCGGCTCGCCAGCCAATTCGAGAATATTGAATGGTATTCCGGTCGCAAATCTACGAAGGAACGAAAAACGGCGATATACACGCTTTGCGATATCATCCATAATCGCGCTCCTGGATCTGTTGCTGCGATAGCTGCTGCAGCTCAACTCGCGAGTGTCGACACGTCATACCCCCATATTTTCTTCACTCGAGACGGCGTGCTAGATTTGCGAGCAGCCGAGTGGGTGCACATCACGTTGGAAGCGGTGCGGCACCGTGATCGCAAGTGGAACGAGGCCACCCTGACCGTGGTTGAGAGCCTTTTACAGGCTCTTCTCTACTACCCGGGAGATCAGACCCAAAACTTCCCCATCACGTCCTTCCGGACGATTCTGCGAGCCCTGTCAATCCCCGGCCCCGTCTCGCGCACAACGTTTCTCCTTCTCTCCCGGTCAAACGCCTGGTTTGCTGACGTGCGGCTTTGGCCCGTTATACAACCATCATCACTGTGGTTCGACCTCGGTCGCATTACCGTGGAGAGCCCAGAAAGCTTTTCCGCCGGGTATATCTTTCTGGGCCACACGCTCGCCCAAATGCCTGCGTGGGTGCCGACCATCCACCGCGACCTCCCGGGATGGCTCAACGTCTGGTTGCACCGACCGACTGAGGACCCCGAGCTGCTCAACAAAATCCGCTCGGTCCTCGCATCATGTTGGGCGCCGGAGAACACAACTCATCCGTTTACAAACGAACGTCACAGAACGCTAGGTCTGGCGCTCACAGCGCTTACGAATGTCTGGGGGGCGTTCGATTTCGGTACCGGGCTCGAACAATTCTTCCCCTTAGTCCGATGCACGCACGACGCCGTGCGTGAGACGGGGGACGACACCGTCTTCGAGGTTTGCAAAAGTAATTACCTTGCCCCACTTGGCGCTGCACTCCTGCGTTCCGCAAAGAGCGCGCAGGCGATTGTCGAATCCAATGATGTCGTTGGGATCAACGAGACACTTGTGCACGGCGCCAGTGGACTCTTGGAGCACTTGGCGCACACGATTCTTATGGGGTCCCACGATGAGCGGGTGGACTTTTCCGCGCAGTTCTTGGATAAATTTGATGGATTGCAGCGCTCACTCGTGGGTGGGCAGCCTGCTTGTGTTGTGGAGGGCCCTGTGCCGTCTAGTAGCTCAATACAATAGATCAATTCAATGCACGATTGCATTCACTATCCAGACCGGCACAGGGCAGTATCTGCATGAATGACAATTGCCCCTTATCCCACTCCGAGCGTTGGATGGTAGCACGGGATTGCCGCTACCTCCATGGCCTTCATCCTTCCCAGGTCTCGTACTTCAGCATGTCTATTCGCTATAATCCCCAATTCGGCGTCTATCGACAACCCGACGACCAGCGTGACGGGCCCTAGTGCGTCCACGCCCGGGCGACGTGCGCTACGGGCTCGACAAGGACGCGAGCGACCCGCGCGCCGTGGGTTCGTCTCGCTCAAGCTGGACGATCGGGCCCTCCGCGTCCCCGCGCTCGAGACTCTGTGCGTCCCCCCTCTCTTATATTTACCTATTTACCCGGCCAAGATGCTGGACAGTGCGCGCGGTGCGCACATCGAGCCTGTGGAGCATCTCGCGGCGGCATCACCGCATCTCGCCGACAGGCGCGGTCGCGCTAGCACTGATGATTCGGGACTACCCCGATGTGCTGAACGCGCACACATCAGGAAAATCCCCCATTGCCATTTGTTGAAAGATTCAAACATTTGCGTGAACTTGAGCTCTGGTGCCGTATGTATAGTATGGAACCAAAGCCAGGCTCGATTAGGCGTATCAGGCCAGCTCCGGGCTCATTCTGCTGCAGGAGGGCCTTACCAGGCTTCTGTCGTGTTTAGCTCCCCGTCTTTCGCGGTACCATGCCTGCAGCGCCCATCGTAGCCGCCGTCCCTCCGACCCTGTCGTTCCCGGCTGCGCTTAGCTCCATATCCACCAAGATGATCTCACTTCCATGCCAGAATTCCCGCTTTTTCCGCACCCCTCGCCGCCCGCAACCCATTGCCCATTGCCCGCCTATCACCTGCTCGTCCATTCATTTATTTCCTTGCTGCTTTGCTTCAACCAGCACTAACGGCAGACCGGGTGCGCCTTGTAATCGCAGCAGGAGAGGTGCTCCTCAATTCGTCGTTCTCAGCTTTATATCATTTCGTTGTCCCACACGCGGGCTGTGTGGGTTGCTGGTACCCACCGATGCTCTATCCTATCATACGCCCTGTGCGCACCCACATCGAGGGAGGGGTTGAAGAGCAATGGAAGCGTAACCCGCGTCCCGAAAAATCAATGGGGTCGGCGGAGATGAATTCCGTTTCGAAGCATTGATCCGTAGGACTCGGCGCTCGATCGCTCGATTCTCAAGCACGACGACACTCCGACTCCTATGTACGTCGAAAGCGCCCCGAGGAAGATATGAATTACACGACTAGTACTAGTACAACTACTCCACTGTACATTCAATTGGAAATCTTCGATGACACGTTATCGCTGCGTGGCCATCAGCCTACACAAGGATGGTTCGAAGGAAAATACGCACCCGGTGAGGTTCTCGAACTCGCTGCGCGCGCCGTCGGTAATTTTCTCGTTTGTGGCGCGGTTATTGGGGATGCCCTCCTTTTTCTCAACCGCGTCGAGGCCTAACACGCACCGTCAGCGTCTTTTATGTGCTGGCCGGAAACAGGAGAGGAACCCACCCTTGTCAACGTAGTCCTCGCTCCCCTGGTTGCCCTGCGTGGACGTGCTGTTGTTGCCGGACGAGCCAGAGCTGTTGGAGAGGAGCTCTTTTCCTTTGTCGAGGAGGCCGGACATGGTGATGATGTGTGGGTAGAGGGTGGGGTGAGGTGGGTGAGTGGATGGAGCGTAGGGTCCAAGAGCTGGAAGTTATTGAGAACAGCGCTGAGGCGCGCGCTTTTGTACTCTGCCACACCCGAGAGACGTCATGGTGCGATCACACGCGTCATCGCGGCGTATCGGCTTTGTGGCTCGAATTTTTCGGTACCAGTGCTCCTGCTGTGCTCCTCGACGTCACCGTGGTTGCGCGGAGCCGCCTAGACCCCGGGCGTGGCTTGGCAACGGCAACTTCCCGTCCTGGCGGCTCCTGACCCGTTTTGGTCATTCATATTTCACCAAGAAATACGGCCCGTTGCCAGACGCACGCAGTCGTATATCGTTGTAATTGGTGAACCTCGAGAGAAACAGCGCCCTTCCAGAACTACCCAGCGAGCGACTGTCCGCCTAGAAATAAGTGAGTACAATTTATGCAATATAGTTTGATCTCCTGTGTTGAACATCATTTGAAGCAAGGGGAATCGGGATTCAAAAAACGGATATAGGGTCGAAAGGTTTTTCTCAACCCCCCTCAGGAACTCAGGACCCGCCTCCCCCCGGTCCTTTCATACAAGGTAGGTGGTCGCATCCCTAGGCCCGGGCCGCTACTCCGAGTCATGTGCAGCTTCACCGCCACCTGATAGAAGCTAACCAACCTCGCGCAACTTGTACGCAATTCAGCTCTTCACCATTGTTGTATAGTTCCAGTGTGCTCTAACCACAATTTTATTACTCACCTGTCTATTTCTGAGGGTCAATTTATGATTCTCGGGAGCTTCAAACCCTCGTCCGACGCCCTTTTGGCCTTGAGGGTGAATGTAGGAAAGTCGTGGTACGCCACTAGTGCTGGGAATAGAAAATAGAAAAACTAATTACTCGCATGGGATGGCCCGGGCTCGAATCGAACGAGCGTCCTCGCCATATTGGCTTCTTAATGATGTACAGGTGCGGACCATCGGCCACCGGGCCTTGCTCCCGTCTTTCTGGAGCTCGTAAAGTCGCCATCTTTCTTAGACTCCGCGCTGCACCCAAAAGACTGCTCAGATCATATGGCCCGCGCTCGACTCACCGAACGAGCATCCCTGCGATATTCAGGGGACGAGATAGTGCAACACAATCAATACAGGTGCTGACCATCGGCCACCGGGCCTCGGTCTCACTGTTCTGATGTTTGTAGAGTCAGTGTCGCAATAACATCGCAAACCGCTTGTGTTCGTCGTTCTCCACCACTGCTAGGAGGAGAAAAAAAAAAACTCTCTGCTGGCCAATAATTATAAACGAATTCCGCATCTATACAGCCCGGGCTCGAATCGAATGAGTGTCCTTGCGGGATCTACTGGGCAGTCTGAGAATCACCATTCAGTATAGGTGCGGACCATCTGCCACCAGGCCTTTTCTGAAGCTCGTGAATTCACCGTCGAAATATCGTTCAATACGGAGTGCTAGAATTTCACGAGTCAAACGATATATCTTACGGGGTCTTTGTTTTTGGCGTTGCTATGAATTTTACGGGCGGAGCATCCGGGACCGGGCCTATACCTCTGACTTCCGCACCCGGAATAGTCGTAGCACTAGTCGTCCGCTGCCAATGCTAGGAAATATAAAACGCATCGCTCCCATTCACGGCCCAGGCTCGAATCGAACGAGCGTCTCACTGGTCGACTCGAGAATTGCGTACCATAGAGTGGTGCGGACCATCCGCCACCGGGCCTCTACCTCCTTGCGAACCTCGGGAAGTCGTAATCCGAGTTCTTTGCTCGCAAATCAAAAACATTTATTCCCATGGCGCAAGGCCCAGGCTCGAATCGAACGAGCATCTCCTGTGATATTGCTAAGAAGAATCAATCAATACAGATGCGAACCATCCGCCACCGGGCCTTGCTCTCCTTGTTCTAAAGTGCGTGAAATCAGTGTAGGATTTGTTCACGCACACGGGGTGAGACTATTTTCGAACTCATCTTTAATGAATTTTGACTGTCTACTCGAGCAGGGAGGGAGGACGAGACTCAAAATTGCGCAGGCCGGGCTGGAGTCTGAGTCTCCTGTCGCGAGGTACGCACGTCGGTTTCTTGTAGCCTGCGTAATTTACCTGGCGAAATTATACAATGTACGCAATGCTGAATGGTTTTCATCGAATACACCGTCATGTTGTGGACCACACGAGTATACCCCCCGTTGCATAATACACTCGAAAACTCAAACTTCAGTGAATTCCGACCAGCATACCAATCACTTCGTCCGCCTGGGCGATTTCAGCGCCGGCCCTTGTTGAAGTGTGCATCGTGAAGAAGCAGGTTCGCATCCCCGACGTTCTTGCTCTGCTAGCCTGTAGAATTGACAGACCAATTGACATTGACTGAGGCGGACCAAGAGAATGGACGGACTGGAGATGAACGGTTCACAATCATCTAGATAAAAAGGGGACTTCGGGCTGGGTTCGAACCACTAGCTCTCCCAAGCTTGCCGGTTCCAACCGAGTGTGGTGAGTTCTATGCGAGGACGTGCTTGCTGTCTTATTGAGCCGGATAAATTGCCAGTACATGTGACGGAGCTTTAGCGGACGGTTCAACGCGGGATATGTGTATGAGAAGCGGACGGAGTGGGTTCGGATTGAATGTTGAAGCCAGCAGTTGGATTGCGGGCTCGATGGAGAGACTCATAAAAAGCACACGAACTGTGGATACCTCGCGCATTAGCGCCAATATGGATGATAGTATTGAAGAACTATATGGAGTCTGACGGGACTCAGCGCTCGAAATCCTCCGCCTACGAGATATCGTCTCCAACGCGCGTCGGAAGATGGGGCGTAATCGCAGCGGTCTGGACAGCCTGCCGCGTTCACGCGTGCAGCGCCTCGTACGTCGTCGGCGCGATCGCGCTCCGCATGCTCTGCGGTCGGTCGGAATCCAACAGTAGTAAGTCCGATTCGGGGTCGATCTCTGACTGCGACGGCGACTGCGCGCGGCGCCGCTCGTAGCTCTGGCTGAGCCACCCCGCCAAATCGAACTGGTCGTCCACCGTGCGCTCCCGATCGATGATGATAGGGGTTTTCCGCCAGCGGGGGAGGGGCGGGTACACCGCCTCTGCGAGGAACGTATATGGGAACAGCGAGATTACGTGCGCCGCACAAGGCGTTGTGCGTAGTCCGAGCACGTTTCCGCTGCGAGAATTCGCGAGTGGTAAGCGAGTGAGTAGACCATGCGCTCGAGGGATATGGTGAGCAAAGACGTACCAGAGACAGCACCCCACCCCCACCGCCACGCACCCGCATGCATCGCGCCGCGGCACCCCACCCAGTCGCGTTTGTTGCGCCGCGGTGAAATACTCCGCGGGGAGGGCCACGAGCGTGCTCCCCGCGCCGTCCGCAACCCCGAGCCAAGTCCGCGAGCCGCCGGGGGATGCTCCGGTGTGGATACGCGCGCCGCAGCCCGTGCGGGCGGGCGCTGCACCGGTATCGAAGGCCGGCAGTTCTAGCGGTAACGGGAGGATCGGGACGGCATACTGTGCGGGGGCAATTAGTGGGTAGGGCGATGTCGGGTCTATTTCGACTGCCGCGGCCTCCGCGCCACATGTTAGTTCGAAAAAGGAGCCGTGGCCAGTTGCGTTTGGACGGGGGAACCGAGACGAGCGCGGGGCGGGCGAGCGGCGTCTATGGGGTGGGGTTGAAGCCCGGCTCCGGGTTCGCGGGGCGCCATCCCCTCTTCGCGGCATCGTCGTCGGCAGAGTGAGAGAGATGAGAGGAAGCTGGTGTGAGCTGGTGAGACGCAGAACAGAGAGGTTATCGAAAAGGGGATGTGTGACGATCAGTGATCGTTGATCCATGGATGGGTTCTTTCCGAGCTTGTTCCGAGCTCAAGCTGTTCCCTTGCTTCGTGTCTCAAATTTCCGCGAAATTCACAGCTGAGTTTGAGCGTAAAACCTGACGTCATTAGACGGTTGTGTTTGCTCATTCATTTGAAACAGACTCAACCAGCCACTTGAGCCAGGCTTCAAGTTGTGAGCTCTGACTAGTTCTGACTCAATGCGCAGCTCATTCGGGAAAAATAAACTGCGGATGTTCGCAATAGCCATCAAATGACACATTCTCCAGGATTTCCCTGAGACCCCTCGAAACTCGAGCAGGGACCGGTGAGCCAAGCAGTTAAGCGCTGGTCGAAAACATCTACACTCAGAGCTGTCACCAAGTTTCCATTCCAGTCGCCCGTCGTATCTTATGTCTTTCGATTCTCCGACGTACCCCCACGGTTATATCTTGGGAACCAGCAGCTATGAGAACCCTCTCCCTTCGGTTAACGTTCAAATGCGGTGTTTCTGGCCTTTGAAAGCGGGCAAGAACCTAATCTCTTATAAACAGACGCTATAACAAGGGAACCTCGTACCTCGGTTTGTTAGCAAGAACCTTCATCTCCGAGTGCGCCACGGCATGGAAATCTCAAGCTCAGCCTCTGTCTTACTGTTTTTTAAGATTCAGCCATGATGCATTGCGCGTAACGGCAATCTGAGCGCCGGTGGTGACATACGCGAATGGACTACTCCCACGAATCTCAAGTTTCTAATTTAGTCCCGATCTGCGAGTTGAGTTGAAAATCACGTTCAAGGCGGCGCCCTGACTAAAAGACGCTTTCAAACCCATTCCGCAGACTCGGATCACACCCCGCAGACATCTGTACTGCCTCGGCGTCTCGCCGGGAGTAGATTATGCAGTCGGGAAAGCAGGACGGTATGTACGCCTAACCGAGATAACTCTGGTCCCAGATTGCTGTTGGTGTCCGCAAGCGCTTGGTGTGAATTCCAGTCATTTTAGTAGCGCGCGAGTCAGATCAGGTCATCTCAGTGCGCCAACCTCGTATTGCAGCTACGGAGGTTGCGGAGCTATCCGTCCGAGCCTCCTAATGACACCACCAATAAATATTGTGTTCCACTTCCTGCCAACGCTGGTGTTTGAACCGGAGAACGCCCTCCGTCTACGAATTCTTCCATATCCCAACTTGAAAGATACCTAGCAGTTCCTCCATAATCAGTATTTCCGCTCGGCGCTGGCCGAAGTAGACGCGGAGCGTGGAGGCCTGTCGACGGAGCCGAAAATCAAACTTATCGCAGGTATGTGCGGGCTTGACTCCATTCGGATATTCCCTTGGTATGGAAGTCGTCGGGATTGGCATCTTGTCAGGCAATGCCATTACAGGCCAGAGCAGTTTCAAACAGGCTGTTGTGGCTTCTAATTGGGCGTTGGAATGTATTAGAGACCTAACATTATCCACGATTTGCAGTCCATTAACTGCGGCCTGGTCTCGGAATTATAAAAGATCAGCACACAAAATTCCCCTCCCAGTCATTCCCACTTTCACAATGTCCCGACGCAGCGCTCCCCGCTCCCCGCCCACTGTAATAACCCTCTACGATGCGCCTGGGGCAGGCTCGCAAACCTGGGTCCCCAATATCTGGCGTATCAGGTCGACGAAGTGCTACATTGTGTTCACCACGCTGAACCCATTTTCTAGATTTATCCTCAACTATAAACGTCTTCCCTATCGTACTGTTTGGGTCGAGTTCCCGGATGTGGAGAGGACTCTGCGTGCTATTGGCACCCCTCCAAGTTCTCGCCACGCGGATGGACGCCCAATATACACACTCCCTGTGATAGTTGATCCCACACGCAACGCACAAGCCCCGCAAATTCTCTCGAATACGAACAATATCGCCGAATACCTGGAGGCATGCTACCCGGCCCGCCCAGTCTTTCCAGAGGGCTCCCGCGCCCTGCAGACACTCTTCGTGCACTACATCCAGGAATTCGTCGCCAGGCCTCTCCTGCCTATCATGGTCCCCATCACTCACGACCAACTTCCGGAGCGCACCCAATCACATTTTCGTGGCGCCTCGCGCTCGCGAACACCCATGCCCTCTTCCTCTCATCCGCTCCCACCGGGCCCCCAGCGCGAGCACGCATGGCAGCTTGTGAAGGAGCAGTTCGATTTTCTATCGATTATCCTCGACAAGAACGTCGGCGACGGCGATGGCGTTGTCGCGCAGGGCCACCACCTTTCGTACGCGGACTTTGTGCTGTGCTCGGTGCTGCTGTGGATCGAGCAGATGGCGTCGCATGACGGGTGGGCGCGTGTGCGCGAGTGGAATGGCGGGCGGTGGGCGAGGCTACGCCAAAGATGTCACGATTACATGGACGTGTTCTGACTCCTTCTGATTGTTTTCGGCGCGGACATAATTAGAAAGGTTATGCGATGTGTCGAATGAAACAAATTTCCAGCTCAAGCCAGGGGAATATAATTAGAGTATGTACTATTATGCAGCGTATTTGCAGATGCGGACTGAGTATACACACCGTTTGAAGTCTACCAGCGCTATTTTGATCTCGTGAGATTTTTTCGGACGCCAACTGAGCCAGTCTGAGCCATATCACTGCATGTAGTCATCGGGAATCCTTGCTTCGAGGAATTCGGCACCGCGGAAGGCGATCTTTAATGTCCCAAACCGTTTTCTTGGGTGGAATCACCTTCAAGCTTCAGGGATGCTACTAGGGGCTAAATTCCAGATGCGATAATCTTATCTTTCCCATTACTGATCCGGTTACTTCCGATTGCTGACGTCGACGACCAAGAAACCAGAAACCAAGGCTGAAGTCGAGGTCAAGAAATAGTGCAGAGGAATAAGCCTGAAAAATTAGCTCGTTACCACTACGAGCTTTTTACCAGC